AAAAGCTACAAATATTTCTTGAGTAACAGTGGTTGAAAAATATATTCATGTTGGGTGGCGGTGATACGGGCACATAGTGGGTACAGAGAGGGTGTTTAAGTATTCACACAACAAATTTAATTTTTATAAATTAGTTATCAATAAGGTTATCAAATCTAAAGAAAGCATCAACTGCCTTTTGCAAAGCATCAATTGCCTCTGGGCAAATATAAATGGGCGTACTTGAGGGTTAATATAAAGTGTGTGGCGAGAGGAAGGCGAGTTGGGGGAGGTGGGATTTTCAAAATAATGTTTTTATATAAAACAAAGTAACAAATACTAAAAATTATAAACCGGTATCTAATAAAAGAAAAAAATAAATTTATCTAAAAAAGCCTTTATTATATAATAAAGCATTTCTTGATGCTTTTTGATGTTTTGTATATTTTACAAAATAAGTTATAAAATAATCTCGAAGAAGTTTAAAAATATAAAAAAAAAAAATTAAAAACCAAAATATTTAAACATATGCAAATAGCATATAATATGTCCAAATATAAATATAAAATATAAGCCACTATGAAAACAGCAATTAAAAAAAAAATCATCAATTCACTTTCAAGATAACATAAGGTCTCCGTATATTATATCGGCAGCAAGTTCGAATTTTGAGATGTCATAATCCACAGCATCAATATCATACGTTTCATTATTTTTCCAGTATGCTACAACATACACTTGCTTACCATTCTTTAACTTCATTTTTTCAAGTTTACCATGATAAACTTCTCCCTGCATTTGAGAATTAAACCATATATGGCAAATGTTTCTACCAACAACTGTATCTGATAGCATATCTGAGAGGTCTGATAATTGATTAGACTCTAGTTCTGGAAATAATATAAAAATAGCTGAAAAATTAAGGTTTTGAATTTAAAGAGATTATTTTTTATTGATCTTAACTTTGATGACAAAAAACACAAAGTAGAGTTGGGAGCACGATGTTTAGCAGCACTGAACATGTCCATGATTTCCTCTGCATCAATATTATGAAGCCTAAGCCTAGCTGTTTGTGTCTCTTTTATGAGTTGTAATGATAGATTTAAATTAAAGTATTTTTTATACTGTCTTTCTAAAGCATCAATAATAGCTGATAAACAAAATATAATCATTTGTTTAACTTCTTTGTCTTTCGTGCACACCGAAACTATTGTTTTAAGAACCTTATCGTTTTTAATACTATTTCCAAACAAATCTTTTGCATTAAATAACAATATAGGGTTGTTTTTCACATGATAAACATTTTTTAACAACTTTTTTACTACTTTTATTCCTTCAATATGACTTAAACTTCCTGTACCTGACTGATAAAATAATGCCATCCATGGTCCTGTTAAAGTCTAACCCAATAACCCTAAGACACACATTTCTTTTTTGGCTGTTTCGTTAATAAAGTCTATTTTCAAACTACTTTTAAGCCCTCCACATGAAACTACATCGTTGCTTAAAAATTCAATTAAGGAATTATAGTGCTGTATAAATATACCACATATATGAAATAAAAAATGCAATCTGTTTCCTCGGTAACGCGGAATGAGTCCTTTGGGTAATTTCATCTCATCTAAAAAGATTGTAAAACCTTTAGATCTCCTTTTCCATTTTTTTATCGCATTTTATTCATTTGTAAAACTATATTTCCAGCCATGCAATCTTTGTCAAACAGCACTCCTTTATTTTTTCAATTGATTTTAATGCAGATCTACATGTAGTGGCAATTGTCTTTAGAGGATGCACACGACAATTAAATTCATTTAAAACTTTACCGCATGAAGAATTTATTAGCTGAATAGCTGCATGATTAGCGGCAACACAGTCAGTCATAAAGTTCGAAATATTTTTAATTATATTTGTCCGACTCTCTTGATAGTCACAATTATGGAAATCAGAATACAAGTAAATGCAAGTTCATCAATTGAAGATACAATATGAGTTTGATAATCATGTGCAGTCCCACCTGACCACTGATCTATTGCAATAACATGACACTCTGTTTTGGTTGCAAAATGAACAGAGTTTATATGGATTCCTTCTTGGGTTGTTGCGTCAAACCCAAGTGTAAGATTGGGTGTAGAAATGGCAACTTAAGCAGCATGATTATACCTAACTCACGAACAATCTCTTCAACTGTGCTGCGTTGTGGAAAACTTTCTGCATTTACTAAACTACTATGATTAAAAAATTTTTGCAATAAAATTGGAATGTTTTGTTTTGGTACCTGGTTAACAATGGCATCATATATCATTAATCGTAGTTGCCAAGTATACGATTTTCTATCTTTTTTGAAAGGCAAATGATCAATGACAAAATCCTTCAACTTATCTAATTTTTCTAGCAAGTTTGCTATTTCAATTTCTAGAGTTTTTATCTGGTTATCTTTACTCAAATTGGTATTACTTAAATCATTTTGTTGTTCTTTTTTCTTAAGCTTGATTATTTTTATTTTCTTTTTAAATTCATTTTC